GGCAGAAGCCGCAACTCCTTCAGCGGCTACTTGAGCCGCTGGTGTCCCATTAACCGGCGTTGCGACATGCGCCGGAAATGAGGTTAATGCCGCAGGGGCGGCTGCTGCCGCCTTAGCGGCAGTGCCTTTTTGGGCCCGTTTTTTGCCGCGGCCCTGGCGGGAACCCTCTTTGCGGGCGGCGCATGACCGAGTCCCCAGCCGATGGTCTGCAGGCTTGCCCCGGTCGGCGCACACGGTGCACTTCGGTGTAGCCGTGCACTCCGCCGACCGGTGTCCATCCGCACCGCAGACATAACATCGGCCCGTCCTATCAACAGTGCTGGTGCACCGCTGCCTCACGTGCCCGAATTCGAGGCAGCGATAACACTGCATCGGACGGGCCGTCAACGCGTCGACGGGGACCCTAGTCCACCCGACGACTAAACTTCCCGCCAGAGCCAGCTTTCGGGCCGCGGCCACCGGGCAGCGCACCCACAAAGTGCCAAGGCCACTAGCATTTGGCCGAATAATCCCGGCACGGACGTCTGCGGGCTGGCACCCGCCCGAAGACGCGATGGCGGACACCACCTCCTCTGGAGTGATTGAGGGAAGTAATCCCCTCAATCGGAGGTCCGCCGTCTTACACGGGCGAGTCACCCGCACGCCCGTGCCTTCCAACGCTTCGGCCACCTTTTTGGCCAGTTGGTCAGCCTTGGCCGTTCGCTCGGGGCCCTGCACCTCGAGCATGAATGCCCCGGTGGCCGCCACCCTCGGACGCAGCGGAGGGATGCCCAGGGCCGCCAAGTCCACCTTAGACCCGGCCCTAGACATCGCTTCCGCGTATGTCATCTGACATCCCTCCGGCACCGTCACGATCACAGCCGCCGTTCGTGGCGGACGCGGGGGGACGGTTTTTGCCGGCTTCGCTGCCGCCTTCCGCGACGCAGATGCGCCGCGTATCGCAGACGTCGATGGCGCTGCAGCGGGTTTCGCGGCTGCGCGCCGCGCCTTCCTGCCGACGACTGTCACCCATGTCTCCGTGGGCGCTCCCAAAGCCACAGTAGCATCGGCCGGGGCTGCAGCAGGCTGCTGGGCACAACCCGCCATCTGCCTGGTTTGAACACCAG